ATGCGATTTCGAAGTTCAACCTAAACCTAGAGAAAGAAATCTAGTTCGTTCTATCACTTCTTCTCTTTTTCGTTTCCAATGCTTGGGTTTTTGATTTTCAATCTAGATCCGATTTTAATTTTGGGTTTGTTTACGAAATTTGCTTTTGGTTTTAGGGTTTCGAGCCTGTATCTGTTTTTGAATGTAGATATATTGTTGAATCTGAATCTGTTTGTGAATCTGGTCTTTGAGTATTGAATCTTGGATTTTTAGCTTTTGTACAACAACGATGGAAAGAATTTCAGTTACAGTTTAAGTTTTTCGACCGCTAGCATCTGCAGTGGATGTCGAGAAGCTGATGGAGAGTACGACATTCCGGCGAGTCTATGTTACTGTGGTGGACGAGTCGTTGTCCAGACTTCTGGGACTGATCCAAACCCTGGAAGGAGGTTCTTCACTTGCAAGAACAGTGAGGTAAAGATCCGGATTGTAGTGAGTAAAACATTGATAAACATTTAGAATTGATGTATTTGATGTGTAGGAAAGAGGTGTTCACGTTTGGAAATGGTGGGACGATGCCGTTATGGAGGAATTCAACATCGTCAAAATCCGATTAGATGAGGCAGCTGATAAGATTCAAAACCTGAAAGTGTTTGGGGGGACGACTCTTCATAATACTAAATTACTTGTCATGAAACAGCGCTTAGTGGAGTATGAAGCAAAGCTGAAGGAGTTGGAGTTGCTTGCAAAGCGAGGTGTGAAGGAGTGGATGCTCAAGTTTGCGATTGGTGGAGGACTTGTTGGGTTTGCAGTTATATCCACTGCAATTCTCCGTTTCTTTAAGTAATATCTATGTTAGGAATCTGGATCTATGCTACGATATCGCTATGTAATATTTTCGGCTGTTCGTACACTATGCTATAGAATCCTGTAATATTTAGGCTAAGACTTAATAACTTAATATGCTATGAATCAATATTTTGTAATTTATTGTGCTCTATGATCCAAATTGCAGTATCCAATTGTGTTATGGAAGTTGTACT